CCACATCTTCTAGTGTTACCAGGTTGATGGGAAGAGACTCTTGAGAAGTTGGAATAAATCAGGAGTACTCTTCAAAAATGGCATTGAACGTTATTAGAATGGGATCGACCTAAAGAGTGTTAAGCTCATCGCTCTTTAAAAACAGTAAAATGATGGTTAATTCAATGTGAAATCTAATAATGCACAACCAAATATGGCACTGAGTGTGGGCTGATTATATAATAATGTTCTTTATTATATTGCATGTTACCTAATATAGAATTCGTACTCGGCTATAGAAGCGGTTATATATTCCGAATTGCACAGGAAATATTTGCGAACACTTTATGAATTCTATTAGTTTTTACTACTCTATCAATAATGGGTATTCGTTAATTACAATACCGCAGCTTATTAGTCATGTACTATATTCTTTCTTTAGCTTGCCAGTCTTAAGATTGCTGGCAAGAACGGCAATATTACGTTGAGGCTTTCCGATTAACATAGATGAGTTGATAATGTATTCTGTCTGCAATATATTTGCTACAGATCGCTTCTTTGCAGCAACATTCATGAGCGCATATAAAAATTTGGCCGGCTATTAATAACATCAAACGACCATTTTCTGCAAGATGGGTAAAATCATGTCAAATTTGGGCCGCTTCGCAGGGTCTTCATTCATACAAATCCTCATTAATTTCATTAGGTGTGGTGAAACCCCAGGTGGTATAGATACTCTCATTCCCTCAAGTGCAATCCTCATGCCACACTCCATATTTGCCAAATCAGAAAATGGTACTTCCCTCGTAGCCATTTCCCAAAGCAGAATGCTAAAACTCCACATATCTGCTGATTTACGATTAATTTCATTTGATTTCTTTTGAAGAGCCTCTGGTGCCATCCAAGCGGGATTGTATAGTTTTCCTGGAGGTTGGAATGAAATCCTGCATCACCCATGTTCACTTTGCATGTCATTCCTTCATCTATCATGATATGTTTGCTGTTGATCAACAAGCGGTCAATCATTGGTTCAAGTGAATGTAAAACTCGTGGTTGAGTCGACTTGCGACAAAATAAAAGCCATATACTACTCCAAAAATACCACAACAATCTGTGGATATAATATTGTGATTTGAATTGCCCGATAATAGTTACCTAGTTTTGATGAGTATTTTCGCGACCTAACGAATTCGTTATCTCCGTTGGAAGAATCCCAAGATCTATAATATATAGTACAATACTATATATATATATCTATAATATCTTTATCGCCCCGAAATCCCGACGAAACAGTCGTCGGCGTGATTTTTCTGTAGCATAATATCATCAGTCTATGACCGATACGAGCACATTTAAAATGTTTTTCTTTATTAATTTAATCGTCTTCAATTTAACTTGCGGTTGCGTCGACAAAATAAAAGCATCAACACTCTCAAATACCACGACAATCTGCGGGCATAAAATGTGTGGAAAAGTACTCGACTATATATATATATTATATTGTTTTGATCCGTATTTTTGCTATTCTGCAAATTTGAAAAAAATTAGATGGACTTGTAACACTGACATATTGTTAGTAACAATGCGATCATTTTTAAGATAAAAACTTTCGAAAAATTCGTAAATCGGCTGTAAAATCTGACGGAGTGAAATTTATTTTGTTACAATAAAATTTGATTGAATATACTTTATATTTATTATCTTATATATCTTCAAAACCCGGGAAAAAGTCGCGTTGCCAAACTTGTATAATGTTAACACGAAAATTTTCAAACGCCATTCAAAATAGCTTGCTTTATTATTAATTTAATCGTCTTCAATTTAACTTGCGGTTGCGTCGACAAAATAAAAGCATAAACACTCTCAAATACCACGACAATCTGCGGCATAAAATTTGTGGAAAAGTGCTCGACTATATATATATATATTATATTGTTTTGATCCGTATTTTTGCTATTCTGCGAATTTGAAAAAAATTGAGATGTACTTGTAACACTGACATATTGTTACACATCGCGATCATTTTTAAGATAAAAACTTTCGAAAAATTCGTTAATCTGCTGTAAAATCTCACGGAGTAAAATTTATTTTGTTACAATAAAATTTGATTGAATATACTTTATATTTATTATCTTATATATATATCCTCATGACCCGGGAAAATTTGCGTTGCCAACCTTGTATAATGTTAACACGAAAATTGTCGACGACCATTCAAAATAGGAGAAGATAGGATTTACATATTTATCCAGTGAAGAGGAAAGCCGCTTATTCATATGGCGAACCACGGCCCCTCGTCCGGTTACCATTCCACGTCGGGTATGGGATAAGTTAGTTATTTGTTTCCGGAAGCATGGACTTGATGGTGGAGAAAGCCGTAACCGACCAGCGATTACGTGAACCACCCTCCGGCGGCGAGGAGTCCAGCAATCCTTTCGCACATGAACATCCCCACATGGGATTCGAACCTGCAAACCCACGCAGAGTAATCAGAGGTGCGGTGGCGAGCGTATTCCCGACGCTTAGCATTATGGATAAAAAGGAAAATCCAGCCCACAATTCACCGTTTCCGTTTTAGTGACGATATGTTTCTAAACGCCGACCCAAGATAATGTACGCCGCAGACACACGAAATTTTGCGATTTTCAATGCCTAGAAAAGCGTTTTAGACTGTCGCGGACCTCAACAAAATGTATATTGTTCACGGTTTTAATTTCGGTATTTTAAATCGTCGCTTTTCAATCGAAACATTTGCGTCGCCGGTTTACTCCTTCATTTGTCTTTAGCATCCCTCCGCCGATGAACATATAATAACTCTGGCCGGATTCATAATTCCGTGCGAGTACATAAATAAAATAGTTATCATCGATATGTGGTATAAATTTGTGATTTGGAGAGAATAAACACAAACGTAAAGACGTTTACGGCCTAAATAACACGTCACGCTGATGAAATCAATCGCGATTTTGACAACATGCAATTGCACACGTTAATCGCGACCTTTTCAGTTTCAAAAGGGGGTGGGGTTTCGACCCGAGAACTCCCCTGGCTGCGCCATTGCTGTCAATATCAGTTTATAAAAAAGTTTTGATATTGATTTCCCTCTTCTTAAATTACATTTTTTTTTGTTCAACTGAAATAAGAACTACGAGTTTAACGTCAATTTTCACAGACTCCACTGCTCGGGCCAATGACATTATATCCCACTAGGAGTTTAGCCTCACCCTTTAGCTGTAGAATACTAGCCTCTTGAATATGCAGCTGTATTTCAAGAACATTGGGATAATGTTTAGTTTGCTTGTATTAGAATTTATGCAATTAGGCAATATAATATCTGTGTAAGGAGACATTAGGCTTCCATCATCTGGTGTAGTGAAGAGTTGTAAATTAGCATTCAAGATTATTTTAATATTATACAAAAAATATATAAATAACAAAGATTTTAAGCTGTTATAAAGGTAGCCCATGTCACTCTAAATTTTACTGAAGTCATATTAAGTTTATGGTTCTGGGACCACAGACACACCAAACAGCATGAAATAAATGACATTTTGATTAAGTACCTGTATGTTTATCATTACATGATCTGTTTTGCAAAAGTCAGATGAAAAATTGTGCTTGCAATTTGACACAATTTTCCTGCTGCAAAAATGGCAACTTTCAGAGTAATTTTTATCACATGAACCCCCAAAGAAACCCACCAAATTCTATGAATATCTCTAGGCTTAGAAAGCATTAAAATAGAACAAATTTAAATTTCAAAAGGTGTTGTCGATGTTTCCTAGTGTGTCATAATTTGAGTCAACAATTCAGAAAGTGATACCTCTATTATTAAAGAATGATCTACCAACACGTTAGCAGCCGATAAGTATAGAAAGTGATAAAAATAGGATTAGTGAAAAGACTTTATACAAATTAGCTATATTTTATGTACTTTTAAATTAAAGTGAAAATTCATGGAACAACCAAAAAAATGAATAATAAACATGCACAAAAATAGTAAAATTATAGTAAAAAAGATGGGACATGATGTTATGAAACAACAGTTAATTTCGTTACAAACATCCAAGTAAATGCTATTCTTACACCTAAACAGACACTAATGTGTTTCACTGTTACTGTAAAAGAAGGAGATGTATGATTTACCAAAACTGGTTACCGTCATTACTATTATGCACAATCTCAATTTCATCATACTAAAAGCAGAACTTGATCTATTTTTAATATCTCCAAAGTATGGAATATAAAAATTAAAAAACTGTTGTTTTATTAGGTTATGATCGTAAGTCAAATTAAGCATATCAATGTCAATTGTTTGATAAATATTTCTCAACTCATAACATTACGAAGTAAGAATGTTGGCATATTTCATGTTAAATGGAAAAGGAAGAAATATACTTTTATATAGTATGTCCCCATAATATATGAAAACCACATCTTCTAGTGTTACCAGGTTGATGGGAAGAGACTCTTGAGAAGTTGGAATAAATCAGGAGTACTCTTCAAAAATGGCATTGAACGTTATTAGAATGGGATCGACCTAAAGAGTGTTAAGCTCATCGCTCTTTAAAAAACAGTAAAATGATGGTTAATTCAATGTGAAATCTAATAATGCACAACCAAATATGGCACTGAGTGTGGGCTGATTATATAATAATGTTCTTTATTATATTGCATGTTACCTAATATAGAATTCGTACTCGGCTATAGAAGCGGTTATATATTCCGAATTGCACAGGAAATATTTGCGAACACTTTATGAATTCTATTAGTTTTTACTACTCTATCAATAATGGGTATTCGTTAATTACAATACCGCATCTTATTAGTCATGTACTATATTCTTTCTTTAGCTTGCCAGTCTTAAGATTGCTGGCAAGAACGGCAATATTACGTTGAGGCTTTCCGATTAACATAGATGAGTTGATAATGTATTCTGTCTGCAATATATTTGCTACAGATCGCTTCTTTGCAGCAACATTCATGAGCGCATATAAAAATTTGGCCGGCTATTAATAACATCAAACGACCATTTTCTGCAAGATGGGTAAAATCATGTCAAATTTGGGCCGCTTCGCAGGGTCTTCATTCATACAAATCCTCATTAATTTCATTAGGTGTGGTGAAACCCCAGGTGGTATAGATACTCTCATTCCCTCAAGTGCAATCCTCATGCCACACTCCATATTTGCCAAATCAGAAAATGGTACTTCCCTCGTAGCCATTTCCCAAAGCAGAATGCTAAAACTCCACATATCTGCTGATTTACGATTAATTTCATTTGATTTCTTTTGAAGAGCCTCTGGTGCCATCCAAGCGGGATTGTATAGTTTTCCTGGAGGTTGGAATGAAAATCCTGCATCACCCATGTTCACTTTGCATGTCATTCCTTCATCTATCATGATATGTTTGCTGTTGATCAACAAGCGGTCAATCATTGGTTCAAGTGAATGTAAAACTCGTGGTTGAGTCGACTTGCGACAAAATAAAAGCCATATACTACTCCAAAAATACCACAACAATCTGTGGATATAATATTGTGATTTGAATTGCCCGATAATAGTTACCTAGTTTTGATGAGTATTTTCGCGACCTAACGAATTCGTTATCTCCGTTGGAAGAATCCCAAGATCTATAATATATAGTACAATACTATATATATATATCTATAATATCTTTATCGCCCCGAAATCCCGACGAAACAGTCGTCGGCGTGATTTTTCTGTAGCATAATATCATCAGTCTATGACCGATACGAGCACATTTAAAATGTTTTTCTTTATTAATTTAATCGTCTTCAATTTAACTTGCGGTTGCGTCGACAAAATAAAAGCATCAACACTCTCAAATACCACGACAATCTGCGGGCATAAAATGTGTGGAAAAGTACTCGACTATATATATATATTATATTGTTTTGATCCGTATTTTTGCTATTCTGCAAATTTGAAAAAAATTAGATGGACTTGTAACACTGACATATTGTTAGTAACAATGCGATCATTTTTAAGATAAAAACTTTCGAAAAATTCGTAAATCGGCTGTAAAATCTGACGGAGTGAAATTTATTTTGTTACAATAAAATTTGATTGAATATACTTTATATTTATTATCTTATATATCTTCAAAACCCGGGAAAAAGTCGCGTTGCCAAACTTGTATAATGTTAACACGAAAATTTTCAAACGCCATTCAAAATAGCTTGCTTTATTATTAATTTAATCGTCTTCAATTTAACTTGCGGTTGCGTCGACAAAATAAAAGCATAAACACTCTCAAATACCACGACAATCTGCGGCATAAAATTTGTGGAAAAGTGCTCGACTATATATATATATATTATATTGTTTTGATCCGTATTTTTGCTATTCTGCGAATTTGAAAAAAATTGAGATGTACTTGTAACACTGACATATTGTTACACATCGCGATCATTTTTAAGATAAAAACTTTCGAAAAATTCGTTAATCTGCTGTAAAATCTCACGGAGTAAAATTTATTTTGTTACAATAAAATTTGATTGAATATACTTTATATTTATTATCTTATATATATATCCTCATGACCCGGGAAAAATTTGCGTTGCCAACCTTGTATAATGTTAACACGAAAATTGTCGACGACCATTCAAAATAGGAGAAGATAGGATTTACATATTTATCCAGTGAAGAGGAAAGCCGCTTATTCATATGGCGAACCACGGCCCCTCGTCCGGTTACCATTCCACGTCGGGTATGGGATAAGTTAGTTATTTGTTTCCGGAAGCATGGACTTGATGGTGGAGAAAGCCGTAACCGACCAGCGATTACGTGAACCACCCTCCGGCGGCGAGGAGTCCAGCAATCCTTTCGCACATGAACATCCCCACATGGGATTCGAACCTGCAAACCCACGCAGAGTAATCAGAGGTGCGGTGGCGAGCGTATTCCCGACGCTTAGCATTATGGATAAAAAGGAAAATCCAGCCCACAATTCACCGTTTCCGTTTTAGTGACGATATGTTTCTAAACGCCGACCCAAGATAATGTACGCCGCAGACACACGAAATTTTGCGATTTTCAATGCCTAGAAAAGCGTTTTAGACTGTCGCGGACCTCAACAAAATGTATATTGTTCACGGTTTTAATTTCGGTATTTTAAATCGTCGCTTTTCAATCGAAACATTTGCGTCGCCGGTTTACTCCTTCATTTGTCTTTAGCATCCCTCCGCCGATGAACATATAATAACTCTGGCCGGATTCATAATTCCGTGCGAGTACATAAATAAAATAGTTATCATCGATATGTGGTATAAATTTGTGATTTGGAGAGAATAAACACAAACGTAAAGACGTTTACGGCCTAAATAACACGTCACGCTGATGAAATCAATCGCGATTTTGACAACATGCAATTGCACACGTTAATCGCGACCTTTTCAGTTTCAAAAGGGGGTGGGGTTTCGACCCGAGAACTCCCCTGGCTGCGCCATTGCTGTCAATATCAGTTTATAAAAAAGTTTTGATATTGATTTCCCTCTTCTTAAATTACATTTTTTTTGTTCAACTGAAATAAGAACTACGAGTTTAACGTCAATTTTCACAGACTCCACTGCTCGGGCCAATGACATTATATCCCACTAGGAGTTTAGCCTCACCCTTTAGCTGTAGAATACTAGCCTCTTGAATATGCAGCTGTATTTCAAGAACATTGGGATAATGTTTAGTTTGCTTGTATTAGAATTTATGCAATTAGGCAATATAATATCTGTGTAAGGAGACATTAGGCTTCCATCATCTGGTGTAGTGAAGAGTTGTAAATTAGCATTCAAGATTATTTTAATATTATACAAAAATATATAAATAACAAAGATTTTAAGCTGTTATAAAGGTAGCCCATGTCACTCTAAATTTTACTGAAGTCATATTAAGTTTATGGTTCTGGGACCACAGACACACCAAACAGCATGAAATAAATGACATTTTGATTAAGTACCTGTATGTTTATCATTACATGATCTGTTTTGCAAAAAGTCAGATGAAAAATTGTGCTTGCAATTTGACACAATTTTCCTGCTGCAAAAATGGCAACTTTCAGAGTAATTTTTATCACATGAACCCCCAAAGAAACCCACCAAATTCTATGAATATCTCTAGGCTTAGAAAGCATTAAAATAGAACAAATTTAAATTTCAAAAGGTGTTGTCGATGTTTCCTAGTGTGTCATAATTTGAGTCAACAATTCAGAAAGTGATACCTCTATTATTAAAGAATGATCTACCAACACGTTAGCAGCCGATAAGTATAGAAAGTGATAAAAATAGGATTAGTGAAAAGACTTTATACAAATTAGCTATATTTTATGTACTTTTAAATTAAAGTGAAAATTCATGGAACAACCAAAAAAAATGAATAATAAACATGCACAAAAATAGTAAAATTATAGTAAAAAAGATGGGACATGATGTTATGAAACAACAGTTAATTTCGTTACAAACATCCAAGTAAATGCTATTCTTACACCTAAACAGACACTAATGTGTTTCACTGTTACTGTAAAAGAAGGAGATGTATGATTTACCAAAACTGGTTACCGTCATTACTATTATGCACAATCTCAATTTCATCATACTAAAAGCAGAACTTGATCTATTTTTAATATCTCCAAAGTATGGAATATAAAAATTAAAAAACTGTTGTTTTATTAGGTTATGATCGTAAGTCAAATTAAGCATATCAATGTCAATTGTTTGATAAATATTTCTCAACTCATAACATTACGAAGTAAGAATGTTGGCATATTTCATGTTAAATGGAAAAGGAAGAAATATACTTTTATATAGTATGTCCCCATAATATATGAAAACCACATCTTCTAGTGTTACCAGGTTGATGGGAAGAGACTCTTGAGAAGTTGGAATAAATCAGGAGTACTCTTCAAAAATGGCATTGAACGTTATTAGAATGGGATCGACCTAAAGAGTGTTAAGCTCATCGCTCTTTAAAAAACAGTAAAATGATGGTTAATTCAATGTGAAATCTAATAATGCACAACCAAATATGGCACTGAGTGTGGGCTGATTATATAATAATGTTCTTTATTATATTGCATGTTACCTAATATAGAATTCGTACTCGGCTATAGAAGCGGTTATATATTCCGAATTGCACAGGAAATATTTGCGAACACTTTATGAATTCTATTAGTTTTTACTACTCTATCAATAATGGGTATTCGTTAATTACAATACCGCAGCTTATTAGTCATGTACTATATTCTTTCTTTAGCTTGCCAGTCTTAAGATTGCTGGCAAGAACGGCAATATTACGTTGAGGCTTTCCGATTAACATAGATGAGTTGATAATGTATTCTGTCTGCAATATATTTGCTACAGATCGCTTCTTTGCAGCAACATTCATGAGCGCATATAAAAATTTGGCCGGCTATTAATAACATCAAACGACCATTTTCTGCAAGATGGGTAAAATCATGTCAAATTTGGGCCGCTTCGCAGGGTCTTCATTCATACAAATCCTCATTAATTTCATTAGGTGTGGTGAAACCCCAGGTGGTATAGATACTCTCATTCCCTCAAGTGCAATCCTCATGCCACACTCCATATTTGCCAAATCAGAAAATGGTACTTCCCTCGTAGCCATTTCCCAAAGCAGAATGCTAAAACTCCACATATCTGCTGATTTACGATTAATTTCATTTGATTTCTTTTGAAGAGCCTCTGGTGCCATCCAAGCGGGATTGTATAGTTTTCCTGGAGGTTGGAATGAAAATCCTGCATCACCCATGTTCACTTTGCATGTCATTCCTTCATCTATCATGATATGTTTGCTGTTGATCAACAAGCGGTCAATCATTGGTTCAAGTGAATGTAAAACTCGTGGTTGAGTCGACTTGCGACAAAATAAAAGCCATATACTACTCCAAAAATACCACAACAATCTGTGGATATAATATTGTGATTTGAATTGCCCGATAATAGTTACCTAGTTTTGATGAGTATTTTCGCGACCTAACGAATTCGTTATCTCCGTTGGAAGAATCCCAAGATCTATAATATATAGTACAATACTATATATATATATCTATAATATCTTTATCGCCCCGAAATCCCGACGAAACAGTCGTCGGCGTGATTTTTCTGTAGCATAATATCATCAGTCTATGACCGATACGAGCACATTTAAAATGTTTTTCTTTATTAATTTAATCGTCTTCAATTTAACTTGCGGTTGCGTCGACAAAATAAAAGCATCAACACTCTCAAATACCACGACAATCTGCGGGCATAAAATGTGTGGAAAAGTACTCGACTATATATATATATTATATTGTTTTGATCCGTATTTTTGCTATTCTGCAAATTTGAAAAAAATTAGATGGACTTGTAACACTGACATATTGTTAGTAACAATGCGATCATTTTTAAGATAAAAACTTTCGAAAAATTCGTAAATCGGCTGTAAAATCTGACGGAGTGAAATTTATTTTGTTACAATAAAATTTGATTGAATATACTTTATATTTATTATCTTATATATCTTCAAAACCCGGGAAAAAGTCGCGTTGCCAAACTTGTATAATGTTAACACGAAAATTTTCAAACGCCATTCAAAATAGCTTGCTTTATTATTAATTTAATCGTCTTCAATTTAACTTGCGGTTGCGTCGACAAAATAAAAGCATAAACACTCTCAAATACCACGACAATCTGCGGCATAAAATTTGTGGAAAAGTGCTCGACTATATATATATATATTATATTGTTTTGATCCGTATTTTTGCTATTCTGCGAATTTGAAAAAATTGAGATGTACTTGTAACACTGACATATTGTTACACATCGCGATCATTTTTAAGATAAAAACTTTCGAAAAATTCGTTAATCTGCTGTAAAATCTCACGGAGTAAAATTTATTTTGTTACAATAAAATTTGATTGAATATACTTTATATTTATTATCTTATATATATATCCTCATGACCCGGGAAAAATTTGCGTTGCCAACCTTGTATAATGTTAACACGAAAATTGTCGACGACCATTCAAAATAGGAGAAGATAGGATTTACATATTTATCCAGTGAAGAGGAAAGCCGCTTATTCATATGGCGAACCACGGCCCCTCGTCCGGTTACCATTCCACGTCGGGTATGGGATAAGTTAGTTATTTGTTTCCGGAAGCATGGACTTGATGGTGGAGAAAGCCGTAACCGACCAGCGATTACGTGAACCACCCTCCGGCGGCGAGGAGTCCAGCAATCCTTTCGCACATGAACATCCCCACATGGGATTCGAACCTGCAAACCCACGCAGAGTAATCAGAGGTGCGGTGGCGAGCGTATTCCCGACGCTTAGCATTATGGATAAAAAGGAAAATCCAGCCCACAATTCACCGTTTCCGTTTTAGTGACGATATGTTTCTAAACGCCGACCCAAGATAATGTACGCCGCAGACACACGAAATTTTGCGATTTTCAATGCCTAGAAAAGCGTTTTAGACTGTCGCGGACCTCAACAAAATGTATATTGTTCACGGTTTTAATTTCGGTATTTTAAATCGTCGCTTTTCAATCGAAACATTTGCGTCGCCGGTTTACTCCTTCATTTGTCTTTAGCATCCCTCCGCCGATGAACATATAATAACTCTGGCCGGATTCATAATTCCGTGCGAGTACATAAATAAAATAGTTATCATCGATATGTGGTATAAATTTGTGATTTGGAGAGAATAAACACAAACGTAAAGACGTTTACGGCCTAAATAACACGTCACGCTGATGAAATCAATCGCGATTTTGACAACATGCAATTGCACACGTTAATCGCGACCTTTTCAGTTTCAAAAGGGGGTGGGGTTTCGACCCGAGAACTCCCCTGGCTGCGCCATTGCTGTCAATATCAGTTTATAAAAAAGTTTTGATATTGATTTCCCTCTTCTTAAATTACATTTTTTTTGTTCAACTGAAATAAGAACTACGAGTTTAACGTCAATTTTCACAGACTCCACTGCTCGGGCCAATGACATTATATCCCACTAGGAGTTTAGCCTCACCCTTTAGCTGTAGAATACTAGCCTCTTGAATATGCAGCTGTATTTCAAGAACATTGGGATAATGTTTAGTTTGCTTGTATTAGAATTTATGCAATTAGGCAATATAATATCTGTGTAAGGAGACATTAGGCTTCCATCATCTGGTGTAGTGAAGAGTTGTAAATTAGCATTCAAGATTATTTTAATATTATACAAAAATATATAAATAACAAAGATTTTAAGCTGTTATAAAGGTAGCCCATGTCACTCTAAATTTTACTGAAGTCATATTAAGTTTATGGTTCTGGGACCACAGACACACCAAACAGCATGAAATAAATGACATTTTGATTAAGTACCTGTATGTTTATCATTACATGATCTGTTTTGCAAAAAGTCAGATGAAAAATTGTGCTTGCAATTTGACACAATTTTCCTGCTGCAAAAATGGCAACTTTCAGAGTAATTTTTATCACATGAACCCCCAAAGAAACCCACCAAATTCTATGAATATCTCTAGGCTTAGAAAGCATTAAAATAGAACAAATTTAAATTTCAAAAGGTGTTGTCGATGTTTCCTAGTGTGTCATAATTTGAGTCAACAATTCAGAAAGTGATACCTCTATTATTAAAGAATGATCTACCAACACGTTAGCAGCCGATAAGTATAGAAAGTGATAAAAATAGGATTAGTGAAAAGACTTTATACAAATTAGCTATATTTTATGTACTTTTAAATTAAAGTGAAAATTCATGGAACAACCAAAAAAAATGAATAATAAACATGCACAAAATAGTAAAATTATAGTAAAAAAGATGGGACATGATGTTATGAAACAACAGTTAATTTCGTTACAAACATCCAAGTAAATGCTATTCTTACACCTAAACAGACACTAATGTGTTTCACTGTTACTGTAAAAGAAGGAGATGTATGATTTACCAAAACTGGTTACCGTCATTACTATTATGCACAATCTCAATTTCATCATACTAAAAGCAGAACTTGATCTATTTTTAATATCTCCAAAGTATGGAATATAAAAATTAAAAAACTGTTGTTTTATTAGGTTATGATCGTAAGTCAAATTAAGCATATCAATGTCAATTGTTTGATAAATATTTCTCAACTCATAACATTACGAAGTAAGAATGTTGGCATATTTCATGTTAAATGGAAAAGGAAGAAATATACTTTTATATAGTATGTCCCCATAATATATGAAAACCACATCTTCTAGTGTTACCAGGTTGATGGGAAGAGACTCTTGAGAAGTTGGAATAAATCAGGAGTACTCTTCAAAAATGGCATTGAACGTTATTAGAATGGGATCGACCTAAAGAGTGTTAAGCTCATCGCTCTTTAAAAAACAGTAAAATGATGGTTAATTCAATGTGAAATCTAATAATGCACAACCAAATATGGCACTGAGTGTGGGCTGATTATATAATAATGTTCTTTATTATATTGCATGTTACCTAATATAGAATTCGTACTCGGCTATAGAAGCGGTTATATATTCCGAATTGCACAGGAAATATTTGCGAACACTTTATGAATTCTATTAGTTTTTACTACTCTATCAATAATGGGTATTCGTTAATTACAATACCGCAGCTTATTAGTCATGTACTATATTCTTTCTTTAGCTTGCCAGTCTTAAGATTGCTGGCAAGAACGGCAATATTACGTTGAGGCTTTCCGATTAACATAGATGAGTTGATAATGTATTCTGTCTGCAATATATTTGCTACAGATCGCTTCTTTGCAGCAACATTCATGAGCGCATATAAAAATTTGGCCGGCTATTAATAACATCAAACGACCATTTTCTGCAAGATGGGTAAAATCATGTCAAATTTGGGCCGCTTCGCAGGGTCTTCATTCATACAAATCCTCATTAATTTCATTAGGTGTGGTGAAACCCCAGGTGGTATAGATACTCTCATTCCCTCAAGTGCAATCCTCATGCCACACTCCATATTTGCCAAATCAGAAAATGGTACTTCCCTCGTAGCCATTTCCCAAAGCAGAATGCTAAAACTCCACATATCTGCTGATTTACGATTAATTTCATTTGATTTCTTTTGAAGAGCCTCTGGTGCCATCCAAGCGGGATTGTATAGTTTTCCTGGAGGTTGGAATGAAAATCCTGCATCACCCATGTTCACTTTGCATGTCATTCCTTCATCTATCATGATATGTTTGCTGTTGATCAACAAGCGGTCAATCATTGGTTCAAGTGAATGTAAAAATTGCATTCCAGACGCAATATCTATTGCAAAACGTAATGCAATCGATTGATCTACTGTTGTTGTTGATTCATGTAAGACATGGTACAGGGATCCATAACTCGCATATGGGCTGATAGTTGCCAGATTCTTGCTGTTAACAATCCCCATTACTGGCAGAACGTTGGGATTCGAAAAAATTCGTAAACGTAGATATTCTTCATGGAAAGCCCTTGATATTCTTGATGTTATATTTTTGACTGCAAGAATTTTTGCTAATATTTCTGTCTGTCCCCATCGTCCTTTCCATGTTTCTCCAGAATGTGATGATGCAATTTTACCTTTTAGATTTAATTGTCGCAAATCGACATTTTCATGATTCATAGTTCCATTTTTAGCCCTTGTGCGGGTTGTTCCTTTCCATACATTCTCCGAGAATGGAATTTTTGTTTTCAAATCCTGGCCTTTTGAACGAGCAAGCTCTGCTAGTCTTCGAGCTAATTCTGGCCTGGCTCTAGCAAGCGGTGTTTCTCCCTTTTTGTTACACATGCTCACAAGAGCACCACAAGACACTAGTTCATCTGCAGAAGCTGGGTGGTTGTTAAAACAGGCATAATGTAAAGGTGTGTTACCATGTTCATTCAAGGCATTCACCTCGGCCTTTTCTCGAATAAGTTTGTGGATAACATCAAGACGTCCCATTTGAGCAGCATTGTGGAGGGGCGTGTCATCACCCATGTTTGCAGAATTTACTCTTGCCCCTCTGGACAATAGCATTTCTACAATGGTATTATGGCCATATCTGGATGCCCAATGCAATGGACTAAATAAATGATCATCTCCTTGATTTAAATCATTTTCAGTGTTATCCAACCAAACTTTGACTGCCATGAGGTTACCATCACGACATGCCGAAAATATATCATTCATTTTTGTTTTGAAATAAATTAAACTTTTTTGCTGCAATTAGTTCAATGATAATTTTTATTAGGTTATATCATTCTAATGAAAAGATGAAATTACATGATGGAATAAGTTGCTTGGAAGAAAAGCACAATCACAAATTCTGAGAAATTAGTAAAATTGACTTATCAATATGCTATACATATTAACATCATATCCAGAGAAAACATTGCAAATTACTGTGGCAAGACAGTAAGAGAATAACAACACTGCATAAACAGGTGACACTGTACGAGTAAACAATCAAAAATCAACTCAGTTAACGCAGTTTCAATCTGCCTGTATATCAGATATTCGCACAACGTTCAGTGATTTGGGAGAGTACGAGCTAGCAAAATAACCCCACTGACAAATGCTACTGGGCTGTGAATTCCAGCTTAGAATTATTCTTATAAACATTCAGCATTTGAATTAATCTTCAATCTTTTTGTTCATAATTACACAGACATAAAGTAGACCTCAAAATTCGAAAAATGGTTATCGCTATATACATCAGTACATATATAGCCTACCGCAGTGTCTAATGCTTGATATGAGAACAAGAGAGAGTTTTCATATCATAAACAACATCAATGATAAGAATCTGTTACTTGGTTAAATTACTGAATTGTAGGGATAAAGGAAGAAATAAGTGGATAAAAACTTCAGAAGCAGAGAAAGTTGAAATTATTGCCGTAATGAGGCCATGTGATTGTGAACCCAATCTGCCAATAAAAAGTATTGGCACCATTTTGAATTATTATACAAAAATTCATACCGACACACATTCAGCATCAAAAAGAAAATTGTTATAATACTGTAATAGAACAAGTTGAGTTTATTTTTTCCAACAAGTACAGAAGTGAAAAAATCAGTCTTACACAAATTACAGAATTAAGAAATAAAACTGATTCTGTGATGTTTATTTCATACCAGTCTGCCAGTAGACTCCAGTCTGTCAGTAATTAGGCCGAGGTGGTCCAAGGTTGTCGACCTCGTGGGCCACAATAGTGCTAAAAACATGTAAACAGTGCAATTCAAAACAAACACATTTATTGTCAAATACATTGCTCATTAATTGACATTTTTTTAGACTAAAGCATGCGAAAACCACAAAAAAAACTCACAAAAATCTTATTATATCTACATTTAGTGTGAGATTTCAAACTTTTCATAACGCAGAAAGTGTCATAAGGAAAACTGACGTATTAAATTGTCACCGACACAACTTGCAGACATATCAAGCAAGCATTGTGGTATTTTCCCTCCCACACCCAGTCAAAAATATGTTTGAATTGGTCAGCTTTATTTTTAAACTCATGTTTAGGCTACAAAATAACTTACAAGTAACTGCAGATTGATTGGTTACCGAATTTTACCAAATTCAGAAATTTGAGATACAGGAGGGTACTAAATTTTTTGACATATACGGTAGGCAGCATTTTTAGTAATACCGGTAGCGGTACTGGACCCGGATTTGGACCACCCCGTCTCAGGCCATTTTGCAGTTTAACGGGTTTTTCTGTTGTATGGAATAACTATCCAATACAGGCATGAAATACAACAACGTATGTACCGGTACCGCTTCACGTATTTAAATACGGTAGTCTACTATGCCGATGGTACCGGTACCGGTACCAAACCTGTGAACAGTTACTGTACCGCTACGGTAGCGTAGACTGTTCTGCACTTCTTGTCTGCTCGTGGTTATTTTCCCCATATGAACTTCAGCACTGTAATACCTGAAATGGCGAATAACAATATGCAAGCCTGAAATAACATCATGGCTTGTTATATCTATATTTCCTATTAGGTACCGGTATAGGCTAGACGTCTATTACCGGTACCAAGTTTTCAACGAAAAACGCGCATTCCCAAAGTAGAAACTCAGTTACACCCAAATTTGGCAATGGCGCCGCACTGCCTTTTAGTGGATGGATATAGAATTTCTCATTCCCATAAGCCATAAGCAGACTTCCAGCTAGGGTTGGGATTCCGGAACCAGTTTTTTAAATCCCGGTATCGGGATTGAGCCGTATAATCCCGGGATTTTTTAGGATTAAGTAAAAAATTGAAACAACTTGCATGACAATAAAATCACGTATTTATTTCATGTAATATCGACGCAGAAATATTAGAGCATTCCCAACCTTTTTTATATTGCGGAACACTATTCGCGGCACACCTATCATAAAACACGATATTTTAAATAGGTTTCATTTATTGAACGAGAAATGCTACTTATGTACCTATTGTGTTCTGGTATAGCCTACAAGTGACTTGACAAATCAACGAATTCTGCCTCCGTATCTCTCTCTATTACTGACAGATAACGCATCGAGCTGGGGCTTAAGAATACGACGTCCTTCACTCCGATGATTATCCCGTGTAGGTAAAAGGGTTTGAAACCCATAGCCTATGTTCGAAAGGATCAATCCACGAGGTAAATATGAAAATCATCATAACAAATGATACATATTATTTTACTGTGCTAACAATGCAAAGAAAGAAGCTTGTATATTTTAAAACAAGCAATGCTCAAATGCATGGCCACGGAGACCAAAATGAAGTGATAAGGGTATGCAATTTGTCACAGTGAACAATCGGTGCCGTAACCTTCACGACTTCGCCTAGGTTATATGTACGATTTGACCAGAGCACCAAAACCGACACAAAGTGCGCAATTTCTAATTTGATGACGTCATCGAACACAGTAATGAATATTTTCCAGCATCGACCTGTTAGTATGGTTATAAACATTGGCTCGAAAATTTCAAATCAATGGGTACTGCAGTTTATGGGAAAAGAGATTTTTGCGCAACATGAAAAAACACTAACAAGATGAACAACAATAACATAACAACAAAACGATTGGATTTCGTGTTTCAACCATGAGAATCGAATTTGAAACAAACTATAACGAAAATTATATATACTTCCACAAAAAATAGCTAAGACTCGTCTCCCAATTATCCGGAGCATGGACCGGGATAGGTATCTGGAACTTAAATATTAGCATCAAATATTACAAACCTACATCGTTAGCATACATGTTTGGTTATGGCTTTTGATATAATACAGGTGTCCAAAAAGTTTCGCCCGATGTTAAAGTCTTTATTATCAAATATATATTTTTTTATTTTAAAAAATATTTATAGTCGACCGGTATCTTATTGGATGTTATAGATGTTGAATGTTGTAGTCCTCATTAGTCATACAAAAAAAATTATTCAAATTTGCAATTAGTAATGCTATGAAATCGGGCAAAACTTTTTGGACACCCTGTATATCAATCTTGATGAATGGTTCTCAGAATTTCGTGAACAGTCGAAATAACTCCAGTAATTTCGTTTTCACTTCAGTGACGGGCACCTTTTGTGGCCAGACAGATAGATAATTTATTTCCAAACTGCGCCACGACACAAAAATGACAATACAAGTCATAAAAAGAAAGATAAAGTCACACATGAAAGACCTTTTTCTAGGTATTCTGTTATGTTTGCTGCGAATCACGCAGTAAAATAAATTATCTTGATAAATTTCTTGATGATAAAATTCTCAAAAAAAAATGAGTTATATATTGAATAAATTTCTGGGCCTTGAAATTGACGCAAAAACAGACAGTATGCAAGTAGATAGTTTCTTAGAGTGAAATGAACAGTTTCTAATCTAAATTGGTCGCTTCAAGTTTGTTCTATTTTTCGCGTAGCATCACGTAAATGACACGAACACTGTATTGCCAAATCACTACCTATAACTGTATTACGATATTTTATTTCCAAATCTGAAGTGAAGGATCAATCGATATTGAAACGCTGTTTTGCTTATATCAGAGGTAGATACTGTACTCATATTGTCTCGTTTCATTCTTTCAATATTGCATTATTGTATTCAAACATTGTGTCTTCTGCAATAGCCTTTTATATGTAATATAATATGGAATGCGTAATAATTCATTGAATTGTTGATAGTGATGACGAAATACAAAAAGATACTCAAGCTATAATTAAATTATCTTTTTACCTAGATATTAGAAGTGAACTTTGGGTGTCTTTGCTAGATAACCAGATTTGGTTCCCGGTGGTTCCCTTCCAAAGTAAAAAAGTGAAAATTACCTCTTTTTTGAATATTGTTTGTTTATTTTTTACTTGTTTGATAAAATAAACTTGACTTGGGCAACAATTATATCGATTTTGGCATACTTTCCGAATAAAATTAAGCTATTGGTGTAAGGAATTTGTTAAAAAATTATACATGCAATGACAAAATTGGAAATTTTCTATTTCACTAAAGATAAAATGAAATGCTGAAGAAATATATTACTATGAATGTCAACTGCACTGATATTCTACGGCTCTACGCAGTGAAAAATCCCACTTGAGAAGCAAGCAATACTTGGAACAATAACAGCAGTAAAGCATGTGTGCTATGATTTCATGTTTTTTAGTCAAAGAATCAATGTAGGGATTTCCTGGTAATATATTGTAATTTTCATTAACCTAAAATAATCTAGAAATTTGAAAAAACGATACTATAGTTCATTAAAAATGTATCAATTTGAATTGCAAAATCAGAATAAAGAAGTCATCCATTTTGATATTATTCTATAATTGATACCCCTAAAAATTTAAGAATCCCTCCGTCAATTATGACAGTTCACTTGACATATTTTCTGGAAACATTGAACAAAATCTTCGCATAATGAAGGGTAAAGAATTCCATGATTGAGAGATTAGGCAATAACAAATTGGAGAAACCCTCTTTGAAACAATACATGAAAAAGATAATATTATTAAATATACATAATTGACTAAACCCAGTGATAACATGCTCAAATAATCCTTACTAACAGCAATAAGTTTATTGGTTTTCTTTAATCATGAAATCATGCTTTAATAACTATGCATTGAAATTGCTTTGGTTCACAAAAAATATAGTCAATCCTTTTGATTCATCGCAAAAACTAATTTCATTTGCAATCAGATGACACATGGAATCAACCTTCATCTGGAATTTTTTTTTGTGTGATGCATCCAACATTTACCGGTAATAGAATATTAAATATTTTAAACAAAATGTAAAACTACATTTAAACCATAAAAATCATTCCTCCCCAGCTGGCAATGCATCAGTCAATCGCTTAATAAATTTTATTTTAAGTTCAGTGACGTTATCACCTTTTAAAACATCTTGTACAAAACTTGCTTCTATTTCCATTTGCACCATTTCCAGTGCCCCTCTTATTGCACCACAAAGAATGTTTGAATATTCTAGTTCACTGTGACTTTCTGGCAATTCCACAAATTCAACCAGTGGATTGTTGTCAAAAATGAGAGAGAATTCATCACCTCCGGGTGACCAGTTCGTGACCACTGGAGTGACATTGAGATACATCTTAAAAGCAACTTTGGCCATCACATCGGCAGTTTCTCGAAAATCAAAACATCTTCCAACTGTTGACCTGGAATATTTTATATCAGTTTATTTTTCATGTCAATTTCATAAAGTATGTAAATAACAAAATATCATACCTAGTATGAATTTTAATTGAAACTACTATGCTATGGTTACTGACAATTTATAAAATACACAAAATCTTCAGGATGATATATGATATACTGTTGAGAGATTTTATATGTCTCCAGCTAAAATGAAAAGTGGCTGTAAAGTTTAGGTATAAAAATTTGAAAACAGAAAAGTTGCAATGCAATATAATGATAGGTATTAAAATTTTGTGTCATCTTATTTTATTCTTAGATAGGATTTCCCTTATTTTTTCAAGACCCCTGTGATGTTATCAGTCAAAGTCAATTATGGAAATAAGTAGCCTACTTACCAGATTGCTAATAGTGCATAAAGTTAAGCCATTATTTTGACCATGCTATCAAATACAAGTGAAGAACTTCTACTATACTGGCCAAGGTCGAATAATTATCTCACACGCATCTCCCCTACACACATTAAAAAACATGAATTGAAAAGATCATAATACCTGGAAAGAAAATCTTCAATCAGTCTAATTCCTATATTATAACCAATTTTATCCAACTGTTTATTAACTTCATCATCTCTCTCATAATCCTTTATCAATTGGGTGACTAGAGCCCCATAGGTTAGGGTGAACAGTTCACCCACAATTTTTCCTTCCGGGGTTCTTGAAACTTGTCGAGACATCTATTGTTAGTAAAAATTATATACTATATTGAATCTTAAAAAATAAAAAAAATGATATCACATATCATCTCTGTCTTGACAAAGTAAATATAACATAAATCATCAGTATCATGATATATAAAAAAATAAAATCAATGAAACTAATTGAGTTTTGCCTGCACTTACTGAATAGACTCAAATATTGTAGTCATAAATCTTATTCATGTTTTCAGAGATATGCATTTAAATAAGACAAATAAAATGAAAATACATTTTGAATCTTTCTTTATCACAGAAAAATATTGCATACCGTGTTATAAATATGTTGTAAGGGAATATAAATAACTGAAGTGTCAGGATAATATATCAATTAATTATTTTAATAGGTTCTTTTTATTGCACTTGTCTACAAAATGACCCCACCACCTCATTTATTCATAATAATACTTGAAAAAAAAAATTGACATAGAAATATTTATGCGGTGATCGTAAGACCCATTCGGGAAAGAAGTGTTACCTCAATCAGCGGGTGACAATCCAATATACATATTTCTCTACAGAGTGACAAGCATTGGGAACATATTCCAGCGGAAACATAACTTTTGTGCAAAGCATCCTCGATTACTGAGACTTTTGGGTATGGGCAAACACGAACATAAGTTCAAGCAGTAAAGAATTTTTTTTCATTTTTATGAAAGCAATTAAGAAATTTTTGTTTTCTTGGAGTCACCCTGTACATCCTCATAAAAATCAGTTCATTTTTATTAGAAAACATTTAATCCTTACTTGTAGTTGATGATTTCCATCAAAATTAAGATATGGTCCTTCTATAACATTTCTATATGAAATGAATTAACCCATTTACTACCCCAAGATATGTTATGTGGAAAATTTATTAAACAGCTTCTTATACAAGTTAATTCCTGAGTCAAAAACCACCATATAGTTACTAAATCTCACAATAATGGTAGAAATGGATAGTATAATAATTAAAAAAATAATTAAAATGATAATATATTATAAAATAAAAAACAACTGACATGATTGTTATACTAATTCCACTCTTTTTTCCTTACTTTTTACATAATTATACATTATTACTGAAGTGGATGCAAATAAACAACAATGATGAAGTAAAATGAATTCGATAATGTTCATTGAGCTTAACCTAGGTTTTTTTTCTATTATCGTTTTGAGGAATGTGAAAAATGATGCTCCTTACATTTGCATATAGACCCACATTTTTAAGTATCCATAATATGGATAAAATTCAACTTATTAATACATGAAAAATATTGAAACTTGCGAGGTGGTGAGTATCCTACTGTACTATCGAGTCTTTAAATTCTGAATTTGCATGCAGTGTAAAACCATCATTTTGATGGTATTACAATATTAGAAGTTCCTGGAGATTCATCATGTTCAAGTTCAGTCTTATACATCAATTTCATTATACCCATTTTTATCTCAAATTTTTGTTTTGGTTCCATTCGTTTTAAGGCTGTAGTCATACTTGACATGAATAAATCATCTTCATCTTGAGGGCATGTTGATGAATCTGAGGCAGCAGATGTTGGCGCCGACTTCTTTTCCTCCAATAGTCTCAGTATCTCAGGTATACAAGCAAGATTTTCTGTGTTACTATTCTTCGTCATTTTGTACGGAAAAACGTGTTTTCTAGGACGTTTTGGCAATGGTGGCATAACTTCAGAACATTCTGAAGAATCAGATAAATATACACTTCCATTTGTTGTCATTGCAAATCCACCATTTCTATGCCTAATGATCTGTGGAACTGGCAATTTCAGATCATTTTCTGCAATTTCTTGAGTGTCTTGAGACTGAATAACTGCACCTGACGAAGCTGAGTGATGTAATTTTGGTCGTAAGTGAGGCTGTATAAAATTCATAGCGTTGAAGAGATACCAATCCTGTTCAATGCCAGGGTTTGTCAACGACCTCCTCCATGTTCTGCAGTATTTATCCCGCAGCGATCTCCATCTGTCGGTAGCTTCTTTCGGGCGACATTGCAGCGTATTAGCGATATCCTGCCATATAGATTCTCGCAGCTCCTTTTGACGATACCCAACATGGCTATGATCAAATAACATCGGGTGTGATTTTACTAGAGAAATCAGTATTTCATCTTTGTTTATTAAATTTGACGAATCTGCCGACATCGACATGTTTGTTTGTATGCAAAAATGAAGCGAAATACGCGCAGAATGGCTGTTCTCACCAGCTGCTCAGCTCATAATATCCATTATCCAGACTGTTCTGGCATTTTCGCAAGCACCACTAATGACAGGTTAAAGGCAAAGTTTTTTTTTTTTTTTAAGGCAAAACTTTTCACACATACGATAAAAATGTGGTCAGACACTCTGTCCTAATGTGGCCATACAAACGCCCACGCGAACTTTTCGGCGTTCCGCGGCGTCGTAGTAGGGGCTAGGGCAGACATGGGCAAACTACGGCCCGCGGGCCAAATTCGGCCCGTTGGGTAATTCTCAATCTAGCCCGCCTGATGCTGCCACTATAGCAAACAACCCCCAAATGTACCCCATTTCATGTTGAAATCATCAAAACAAAGTTAATTTTTCCCAAAATTCGAACAAAGACTTTCGTAGGAATCAAATTACACCAGTTTTAAGAACATAACATGTTCCACCCAGTCATTATCAAATTAAAATTTATATTCTCAAGATCTTTGGCACTCATTGAAATAATTATATCTAAGTTCCCATCCGTACGATGTACATAATTACCCTTATTGAGATAGTAGGAGTTTCTGTTTATAACGTGAATCACGAGCTCACGTTTACAGTATTTAATTAGATTTATGATCGACGTATAAATACGACTCGATATCTTTCAATAAAAACTAGTGTGGAAAAATGTTTTAAGATTTGTATTCTGTGTGTTGTGGAAATTTACGAATAAAAACATATAGAATTTTTTTAACGCATCTTCATTCACGTGGGCGTTGAAGCTGAAGGGTGAACGGGTGACTTACAAGTCAGAGACAATCTACAAATTAGCAATATACGGTGACATCACATTCATTTACCAATCATATATGCTATAAATGGTGACAAAATCGACTTGAATTAACCTTCTGAAACGGAGCAGATCAACAGGGTTCAACCACAAGTACGGACAACAATCAGAACTGGCAACAATTTGACGGAATCAACCAAAAAGCTGACCAAGCGAAAGAAAAGTTTCCTTTCCATCATCTAACATATTAGTCGTTAATTGGGGCCATTGCTGATCTAATATCTCTGTTTTCTTTCAGCAGCTTTCAACAATTGCCGAGAAACGGTCTCTACGAAACGTGCAAAAATCAAAATCGACCAACTTACGAACGTCGGGGAGATTCAAATTGCCTGGAACAACGATTGAAGTAGCGAATTGCTGACAAGCCGAAATAATCAAAAACATTATGAAAAGACAATAATCTCAATTGAAAACAGTTGAACTATGGTAACGGACTCTGGAAACATTAAAATCATGAATATGAACTGTATTGAACATCGATCGAAATGAACTCTTTTAGAACATGATATATGTTCGAGGTGAAAAACCTAATCAAAAAACGAACTGTTGAAAACAATGAACTATATGGACTGTTTTACGGTAAATCACGCGCTCTATTCCGAACAATAGAGAAATTGTCGCGCATACCTAATGGATATACAGATCAGGAGCATGTTAATCTACAATTTGTTTCATGATTTGCAAGTTTTTCTCCTCATTGAGACAGACAATTTTTCATTCTTCCACTAATACTAAGATAAAGTACTTCTTTTTCTTCCTATATATACATGGCGTTTCATTCGGTTTTCAATTTTTATAAATTAATTTATGGTAACAACTTTGAATATTCTAATTTCAAATACCTTTCAAGATATTTATATTATTGAATATTTGTGGTTAGCATTTCTTTTCGATTAAATAGATTTCGTTAGCATTAAAATGCTTTCTAAAAGTAGATTCGAGCGAGTCATACTTTTAATTATTTACAAAGCCGTCATATAGAACGGTAAAATAATAAGCTCGTTTAACAAAAATTGTATCCAAAAGCGTTATTTTTTCAAAAAAGCCCTGAGATGGCATAAACTTAAAAATACGTTTTTTCTTCCCGATATGGGACAAGCAAATATAGACCAACTAGGTCTACAAAATCGTAACAATGCGATAAAGCGAGTATAAGTATTTTAACTTAGCGAAATACATCAAATTGAAAATATGTTTTAACCGTCCAAACCAAAATTTTTAAAATAAAAATAGCCATCCTTCTGTAATTCCACTTTACAACCTGTACCCTTTCTATAAACTCTTCTTTACTTCAATGTCTTGTCTCATTGTAGATCATATACATGTAAATATTTTTTTGACCTATATCATTAATTTTAGCATTGTGTATTGTATTTTTTTTATACATTTTCAATTTATTAGAGGTGCCAAATCTTTGAATTTCCAATTATCCGGATGGGGAGATAATATAGCAATAAACCCCCAAATATACCCCATTTCATGTTGAAATCGTCAAAACAAAGTTATTTTTTCCCAAAATCCGAACAAAGACTTTTGTAGGAATCAAATTACACCAGTTTTAAAAACATAACATGTTCCACCCAGTCATTATCAAATTAAAATTTATATTCTCAAGATCTTTGGCACTGATTGAAATAATTATATCTAAGTTCCCATCCGTACGATGTACATAATTACCCTTATTCAGATAATAGGAGTTTCTGTTTTTACGTGAATCACGAGCTCACGTTTACAGTATTTAATTAGATTTATGATCGACGTATAAATACGACTCGATATCTTTCAATAAAAACTAGTGTGGATAAATGTTTTAAGATTTGTATTCTGTGTGTTGTGGGAATTTACGAATAAAAACATATAGAGATTTTTAACGCATCTTCATTCACGTGGGCGTTGAAGCTGAAGGGTGAACGGGTGACTTACAAGTCAGAGACAATCTACAAATTAGCAATATACGGTGACATCACATTCATTTACCAATCATATATGCTATACGACAACTAAACTAAAACCAAATTTCGATGTTTAAGCTAAAAATAGCTTAAAGAATTTGTTGAGATTGCGATTAAATTTAGTTTTGGCATGAGGCCTATTGCTTTCCACTTTTGCTTTTGTAAATATTGTTCATGAAATGTAACTTTTACATCACACTTACATGGCCCGCCAGACTCGATGAGCAAAATCGTCGGACCGAGGTTCAAAAACCTTGCCCACCCATGGGCTAGGGCAGAGGTGTGCAACCTTTTTTACAGACGGGCCAAATACAAATAACTGGCTGAAGCCGCGGGACGCACTTGGAAACTCTACCTATGAAAGTCTCTGAATACAAAAAATTTGTACTTTTTATTTGGTATATATTTCTCTGTTCTTTTTTTTTACCATGTGTACCTTAAAGAATTTTCTACTTGCGAAGAGGTTTCCGTAATTGGAACGAAATTGATTTGTTCCAAGCCCCATCATAAGTAGAAAATTCCGTAAATACGGACGCTTTTACCAAAAAATGCAATAATTCGTTCCAAGCTCCCACATAATATTTGACTGGGCTAAGCAAAGACCGTGGAGATTAGGAGGACGGCGGTCGGAGGACGCTAAAAAGTTAAAACCTAAGAGAGAACGTAATGTACGAAACTGAGCACATAAAATTCCAAATTAGAATTTACTCTTTTTATTTTGCAGTTGAATTTTTTTTTTTTTTTACTTTTAACTGTTACTCTCAACTGAAATTGAGTGAGACTTATTGTACGCACCCGTGGGAAACGAACCAGCCAATGTGATAGCAGATAGTTGATTGGCGTGTGGCAGCGCAGGTACCGCGGACTTGAATTTTTATATTGCTCACGAGACCATTTGTTGATTCAGAAAAACGCAAATGTAGTTACGCGATCATCGTCATTATTAAATGAATGAATTTAATTTCTAAATTCCCATTTGCCAATGAAAGAGGATTGAGACCGGAAATATTTTATTTTGGCGCTGATTTAAATATTTCATGTCGGCTGTTATGATTTTATTTTTTATTATAAATTAATACCGTCAACCTCAACTGAACGATATTGTCATAAACGACGCCGCGATGGATACAAAAATTTTATACAATCCAAATTGCAAGAAATGAAAAAACTTGCCCTTATGTTCGGTCACTATCGAAATGAAAGGATGAAAACAGTCAATTACAACACAATTTGCTTTTAGATTTATTGCCGAGACCGCACAAACTATCTCGATTAAATTGAAATATACGATATAGTAAAATAGATTGGAATGGCATAGATTTCATGGGAATATCGATGATATCATTGTGTTTAGGAATATGAGTTGCAGGTGGAAAAATACCTGTGTTTCTCCAAGGATTGAAGTACACAGTCAAAAATCAATTCAGTGTATATTCGATAATTTTGCAACGTAACAATTGAAAATTGTTACAAATTGTAAAATATTTTCAATCAAAAACATCCACTGGTGCAGTTCAAGTCAGCCCAAATTGAAACCGTTTCATGCCGACTGTAATTTACTGCGCGCTGCATAAAACTGGTTTCGATTACGATAAAAAGTGATATATTTGTAAAATATATAACAAATATAACAGTGGCCCGGGTCTGGTATAGACTTCGCGACACAGGGAGATTGAAATTGATCGCACGTTTCAGATTATTTAAACTAAAAGCTTGTTTCTTGAGCACATCCTTTAAAATTGGCACTTCTCCGCGGGCCGCATTTGGCCCTCGGGCCGCACTTTGCACGCCCCTGGCTATGGGGTCGCTTCCTCCACCACCAAGTGAGAGAGAGTCCATGCATCTGAAACAAATTATGAACGATTGGACATGAAATGTACATACACGCCGTGGGCCCAAAATCTGCAAAGAGCTTGAAAAAAGTTCGTGGTGACTGTTGAGGGGGGGGGGGACTTAAATTTTGGTGGAACTGGAAAGAACAATTTACAAAATATTCAAAGTTTAGCTAACCTTCTATGAAAATGAATGGACAAATTCTTTTAGAAATTTCAGTACTTAGAAATGGATGAAGCCGCGAGAAAGTTATTACTTCTTTTTTTTTTGTTTCAAATTCCCTTTGAATCCCACGGGGCACGATATGTCGCCACCTGTTTTGCTTATTTATTTTTTATAATATTATTGAATATTATTTTTGTGGAAACATAGTTCGAGTGTTTTCACGGCGAATCTCTTTTTCGATTTCATAATCGACATAACAGACGATAAAATATTTGATAAAAGAAAACAAATAAATAAAAACTGATTATAGAATCAGGAGAGCAAACAAAACTTTAGGTATGGTTTATAGCGTACGGAATTTAAGTTCAAAGGTTCTGCTAAAAAAGTGGTACGTGTTCACTCATCTAAAAGCATTAAATTAATACGAGAAAGTAAGAATATTGCGAGAAACGTTAGATAAACTACATTGTAAATAACTAAAAAAAAATGAAAAAAATTACAAAAAAAAAAAAGTTACGTACATACAAGGCTCAATTCAGAGATGCGGGAAGAATTGAGTTTTCTGCTGAAGATCGTCGGTTTGAATGTGAAATAAAGTATTTGAAAGTCATTACTATTAGAAGTTATTGAGCCACGGATAATAGAAAAGAGAGAGAGTTTGTCAAACCAAGAAAAGAATATATGCATACATATACAAATATTAAATGAACAGATGTTTTCGGTACATGAATAAGTCAAGCGTCGGTTATATGAGTAGCATTTCAAGGTGTCTCCTATAGTGCACCGTGTGTATCGTGTAAGCCCCATATGATTTGACTACTGTTTTCACCAATCTCACCACGCCCATTCTTTATGCAACTCGCGAGTACAGCAAATATCACTTGCAAAGCATTATAATATTACTGGGGATGAGCAATATAGAATACCGAATCCGAGGGATCCAATAACAGGATTCGGTTCCCACCTCTTCGGCGCCGTGCGTCAATATTTATATTTCGGATTTCTAATTATATTAATGACGAGCGTTTTCTCTCACAATGAAATCTTTCTCGTTTGATTGTACTTGCGTTTTCTCTGAAAGGAACGGCAAAAAAAGGCAGACATCATACACCGTATTCCCACGGCGTTATTGCACCTTTTTGCGTTTTACAATTTCACTATCTAGTTTGCTTATAATAATAGTTATAATTGATGCCGACTTAGGGGCGATTTTCCGAATACTCGTTTGCAACAATCTTATTTTTTGGAATACGTGAAACATTCTTTAATTAAATTAAATGGCTTTTTGTGGCCTTCGAGTTGTACCAGACGTTAGGGTTAGATGATAAAACATTATTTGCGATTAATTCAGATTAAATTTCACTTTCCACGGCACCCCGTTTCCAAAAATACTAAATTATATCGCAAAACAAGTCGTTTTGTTCCATTTATTTTGCACTCCCAATAGAATACCTATTTTTCGGAATTCAAGTCACCGATGAATCCGTTCCTATCGCCCAAGCTCGACACACGTCTGGTCGAGTGTCGGGCGGTATTTTAGTCGACGATAAATTAAAAAAATTGTTACAACGATAATAACTGAAAATTGAGATTTTGCAATAGAAATGAATTTGTCCCAAGATAATATTTTACGAGTCGTGCTCGCAAAAAAAAAACACGCTAACATACGTGATTATAATTAGAGCTCGACCCAACCAATATCACTTTTTGACGCCGATACCGATATATCGGTCAACTGGTGGCCGATAACCGATATCGCAATGCCGATATTATTAAAAATCATATTTTAAGCCACGCTTTCATGGTGCACCTTGTGAGTCTGTAGTTTCATTTTGATATTTGTAATCATGGCAGTAAGACTTTTATTTAACTAACTTTAGCTAATGCTCAACAAATGTTATTCTGTAACTTTTCCTGCTACTTCAATATCAGTCTAGCTATTTCCAGGAAAAAGAATTGTTAATCAGACGTTTTTAAATATAACTATGGACATATGTTAAGGGTAATAAGAAATTATAAATTGATATATTTTGGAGTGAATCGTGATAATGATCTTTTGATATTGTGATAGCATATGTGCAGTTACATGTGAAATTTTTATTAACTTTGTTTCCAGAGACTCCCAATACTTTAATTAGTCAATAATAATGGATTAAGTTTTTATTTTGTAATTTTCAGCAAAATGATAAACAACCATCAATATAGACAAAACCGTTACCTCAGAAATTCAAAATTGAATTTGTGAACTGAAATTATTGCTTTGAGCTACCTGTACCATGTTTTTATGATTACTAACTCACCAGCTTCCAATCGGTTCTATATATAGAACCACCGTTTAATGCTATTACTAAATTTGCCCTTTTCTCATTGTGTACTCTCTCAAAAACGTCACTTCATGAAACTTCATTGTTGCTCCAGATAATAACTTTTCAGTTATGACCATGCATGGAATGGCTAATCATAAGACACCGGGAATTATGAGAGACACCTTTATAACGCGAAATGAAAGCGAGAGAAATATTGGGAAACCAGTTACGCAGGGGCGAGAGCCGTTGCAGCACGCAGCCCGGCGCTTGTCGAGTATGGCCGATATATATCGGCGGTTTACGGTCGATATGATGTATCGGCAGACACGCAATATCGGCCCGATATATCGGTCGAGCTCTATTTATAATTGATAGTGGTTAAATTTATTATACACTATTAATTAACGCGCCCTACCAAGTGCGGCACTCGTTACGGCTGCATAACTTGCAGTGGCCTCGGGCTGGACTGTGTGTTTTCTGCCGCTCTCACCTTAATAATAATTTAATGTTTATTCGTTGTATTTCACAATTTAGTACTAAAGTGTATAATGCGCTGTTTATTTTAAGATATAAGTATTTTGGGATCACATAGAATTTGAACAATTCAAAGCAAAAAGTAATTTGTTGAAATTTCTATATTTCATTGTCCTGTTTGGTAACGAATAAAATCCAATGCTCATGACATTTTCAATTAAATACAAAGGTAGTAAGTGGTATATTCACAATTTTGCTTTTTAAGAATTGCAATCCATCAATATGGTGGGAGAATTCCCACATTTGAATAATAACAATAAAAAAAGAATAGGATTCGGTATTATGGATTCGATTTAAGTATTCTAGAACATTCTAGAATAGTAAATTATTCTTTATTGCCCACCCCTATGTAGTACCGTTTACTTACTGCATGTGTACCAGATGCATTTACTATCACGAATTTGACCTCCAGCAATGTACTTTCGCCATATTCGTCACATGATCGTCACATGATCTAGCCGTTTGTATGATCTTATATGCCGTAGTAAATATGAAAAAAAATATTGCCTGTTCATTCTTATACCCAAGGAGAGTAGCCTATATGTTATAACGGCTTGCATACCGGAACATTCCAATCACGTCACGCCTCTGTCACACCCATCATATGACAACTATTCTATTGGCAGCTGGTTGTGAGTTTTTTGCCGGTTTTCTGATTTTCATTCTCATAGGCAGTCGCACATATCTGCAGGTGTTACCATTGTTTGTTTTTGTTGGTTTGTCAGTTCTGTAATTAGAGAATTTCTGTTACAATGGATATTTTTTTTTATTTGTTGGTTCTATCGGTTCTTGTAGTGAATTCCCAAGTGATTCAATTCACCAAGGACATAGCTCAGGATGAAGCTCCCAAATTCACTGAAATGTATTTTGATCAATTCGTTGATCATTTCAACTTCAAATCGCATGGAAGCGCAACATACAAACAGAGATTTTTGATAACAGGTTGGTCATTTTTTCAACATGTATGTCTGTATGTTGATATTGTAATGGGAATTCATATTTGACATGCAGATAGGATGGACCACTGCATTTCAGCATTTGGTTAATAATTTCATCCAATTTTAAAAACCCTTGAAACTGATAAACATTCTTAAATGGCTGTCAAGATTCAGTTTGATGTTTTTGCTGGTACCTATTCAAGTTTTTTGAAGCCACAAGCCGTTTCATCATTCATCCTGTATTTTCAACTAGTCTTGAGCAGAAATTATGGCTGTATGGGGTCTGGTATGTTATCACAACTAATAAGGGCCGCTAAAATATAAGGATGGTTGCCCAAATTGCTGAAATGTGCAGATGTTCATCTGATATTGGGCATGCTACTTTGTTAAAAATAAATTTACCAATCCAGTATATGCAGATATGGGGCTTTATATGTTATTGACAAACAAATATTCCCAATACAATATGTCTTATTCGATTTGCAAAATCATGATTCATAATTGTATATGGCCTCCTATCTCTCAGTGGCAGTTACATTTGGTGCAAACATAACTACTAAACTTACCATTCCAATATGAATATTCCCAATTCAATGCACTAGATTTAAATTGTCGAAATTATCATTTCTCACTATACAGAACAATACATGAAGGAAGGTGGACCAATATTCTTTTATGCTGGAAATGAAGGACCAATTGAAGGATTTCAAAAAGCTTCAGGATTTTTGACAGAGCATGCTCCAAAGTTTGGGGCATTAGTTGTTTTTGCTGAACATGTATGGTGTTATTTCAAATATTTTTTCTTTTCAAGATGACTTCAATTACATTTTCTTTATCTTTTTGTTGTGAATATCTGAAGTGAAGTTTATGGTTTACTCTCAACTTATAAATTCAAATAATTAGTTACACTGTTCTCCACAGTTATACTGTGGGTGTTGAATCATTCCTATAAAAAGTCTTATCAATTTCATTTTGCAGAGATATTATGGAAAATCGCTTCCTTTAGGAGAGAAGTCTTTTATGGTTGACAACCTTGGATTGCTGACTATTGAACAAGCACTTGCAGATTATGCGTACTTATTAAAATATCTCAGATCAAAATATTGCAGTAAGCCTTGTCCTGTCATTGCTTTTGGAGGAAGGTCAGTAATAAATTATATGGTACATGTCCATGATATAAAATAATAATTTCTTTTTACCCATTTATTTCTGCTGTGATACAGATTTCAAAGAATAATAAAGTTCCATATATTTCAGCTATGGCGGTCAACTTGCTGCTTATCTGAGATTCAAATATCCTGATTTGATAGCAGGATCACTCTCTGCCAGTGCTCCCATTTATTGGATATCTGGACTTGGAGATCCACATGGATTTTTTAAGTCTGTTACAGATCAATTTGCAAAGTCAAGCCAAATGTGTGTGAATTTAATAAAACAGGCATTTTCAGAAACACAAAAGTAAGTTTTTTGTATGTCAGTCTCATTACTTATTCACACTTTTTATATCCATAGTATTGATGTCAATAAATTGTTTTTTCGAATATATCCTACTCTTGATAAATAGATGAATTATCAAAAACTGGTCACATGCTTTTAGTCAATATTTGCTTTACATTATCCGGTTGAAAAATTGTTACACTAAAAATTTGCGAACAAAGAATTTACTGCAAGTCATATGACTTTTTCCAATGATGTCATTCATGTATGTTATGTACATAAATTTTATTTTTGTTATCAGGATGGCTGATCAAGGAAAATATGCTGATATTTCATCAAGTTTTCACACATGCAAACAAGTCAATTCATCTACATTAGATCATTTATATAAATGGGTCCGAAATGCATTTACATCAATTGCAATGGTGAATTATCCTTACCCTTCTGATCTACTGGGTCCAATGCCTGGTCATCCTGTAGACGTAAGTTACATCTTATGATAGACAATGGTTATGCAACATATTGCAGAGCTGCCTCCTTTTACCCGCTAAAAGTATGTATGATGTTTATAGCTTTCATTTTTTATATTTTCTGTTTCATATACATATCTTAATACTTGCTATTCAGGTCGCATGCTCGAAAATGACATCAGCTTCAAATGTAGTAACAGGTCTGGCCAATGCTGCTGGTGTGTTTTATAATGCTACTGCAGTTACTTGTTATAATATTTTTGAAGATTTTGTTGATTGCGCTGATCCAACAGGTTGTGGTCTGGGAGACACATCCACTGCTTGGGATTATCAGGTCTGTATTTATCGATGGATGGTTTCATGCTTTTATTTCTTAACATAGTGAATCTGGTATTGACCAATGGATAAAACATTTTTCACTATTTACAGGCTTGCACAGAAATAAATCTCCCACAGGGAAGTACTGGAAAAACGGATATGTTTCCTCTTCTCCCACTCACTCCTGAAATGAGAGCTGAATATTGTCAAAAGAAATATGGAGTAACACCGAGAGTGGATTGGCTTGATGTTCAGGTCGAAATTTCATATAATTTCCAAGTTTTATTTATTTAACTTTTTTAAACACAAACATACTCAAATTGCTACCTTAGTCATACAATCTGATCAGGCACTAAATGTACTTATGGATTGTTTGCTTAATCGGTTTCACATTTTCTGTTTTGAAAATACTAGAAGACTACAATAATTACTTTTTTGTACTAGCCCTATTGTACTTGATATTTCACCCAATTTTTGATGTTTTTCATAATTCAGAGGCACATTTTCACATGACAGTTGATACCATTGTTGAACATTTGACTGGAATTTTGTTGACAATATGGTCATATTATTCATGTATTTGAGATTTGCTTTCTTTTGTTATCTTATCTTAGGTTCAGGTGCTTGTGGCATAGTGTGATCCCAAATTGTTATCAGACTTTGTAGCTCCGGTTTGTTTAGTGGAGGTTTGGAGAGCAGTTCACTGTTTTGTGTTAAACATTTATAACTTAATTGTGAATAATTACCAGCCATGCATATTGCTATTCTCTCTATAGTTTTGGGGAGCTAATATTTCGTCAGCGAGCAACATAATTTTTTCAAATGGGGATCTTGATCCTTGGGGACCAGGAGGAGTTCATACAAGTCCTGCACCTAGTCTTGTTGCTCTCGAAGTTATAGGGGGTGCACATCATCTTGATCTGAGGTAAGATTATTTGTGGTATATCCTTCGGATGAATTTTGTTTCTTCCATCCTGCATTCTTTGCACTTTTGGGTCTTTATGTTGTCTGGATTACAGGATTTATTACTTATCGATCTTTAGAATCGGTAAGTATGTTGATAGGGATTTGTCTGTTTGTCTGTCTGTTAGATGCACGGGATATCTCACGAAGGCGTGGTTGAATCTGCCCCAAATTTAGCATGTGCATTTATCATATCTTGGACCAGAAGCCTATTGATTTTGGATGAATTATGTTGTATAATTAGCAAGTTATTAATTAATTAGTGATGGGACATGCGGTGTCACTATAGAGTCATGAAACGAAACCACAGTTTCGATCGATAAGTCTTCGGTCTCTGACCGTTATTCTCGTTTATAAGTTGCAACCAAAGTTTACATCACGAAAGCTGACAAAGTGGGATAAAATTGAAATTTTAGTAATTATAGAAGTATATAGTGTGTGATACAGAATTTTATCACTGTGTTTGAGCATATTTAATATTAATAATTGAGAAAGTATTTGGTATATTTTAATACGGTGACCGTCCATTTGAATCTATACATTCGCACAGGTTCAATTTATATGAGGGTGCTAAAATCCATGGGTTAGGGTTAGTATGGGTTCAAATATCCGCAAAAAAAAAATTCCATTGGTGCAATAGTGTGCAGGTGCAATTGTCATGGGTTCAAATGTAATGGAACCATTTTAATACAGTATAATTATTTTAGGAGTTCCAATCCCAAAGATCCACAATCTGTCATTGATGTACGTAACCAGGAAGCTAACATTATTATGCAATGGATAACTGATTTTTACGAAAGATAAGATGATGATGAACTGCCACACAAAACAGATATTGAATTATTTACTTGAATCTTTTGTGATTTTCCACCTTTCCATATTATATTTAAATTAATCATTTATACCAGTGTTTCATCGCACTGTCAATGTCCATATCTAAATAGCCGGATCGATCTCGATTTCAAATACCTCAGATTAATCTATTTTGCAGCAATTTTATGGTGAAAATAGCAACAGTGCAGTAAAAAAATGATTGTGATTATGTGAAAACAATAAAAATCCATTTTTAAGTAATTACTAATTTCCCAGCTCGCATCAAATATGAATTTGTACCCTACAAGCATCAGTATATCCATTTCATGTTAATTATTTTCCAATGCTTTTTCTGAAGCTTTATAAAATCTTGTGCATGCTGGTGGAATAATTTTTTTTGCAGTCGAATGTACCTTATTCTGATTTTTCATAATAAATGCAATAAACTAAGTGCAATTTACATTTTATGACATGTTGAGTGTTGACTATGATTTGAGATGCCATCAAGTCTGAATGCGGGCTCGGCGATGTGGAGCATATGTGAGCGGATTGCTGGACTTTGGTTACCGTATGGTGGTCGGATTCTTCGTTCACCATCAAGTCCATGCATCTTGAACAAATAGCTGGGTAACTAATCTCTTACCTGACATGGACTGTAAACCGGACATGAGGCTGCGTTTCGCCATGTGATTTAGCCGTCTCATCGGTTTTATCCCCTCCCGGGGTAAACGTGTAAATTTAGGTGAGTGAACACGTACCACTTAATATATAATAATATAAGTTTATTTCGACTCCATAATCAGCATAACAATAAAACGATTGATAAAAAAAATAAATAAAAACTGATTATGAAATCAGGAGAGCAAACAAAACCTTAGATAAGGTTTAAAACGTACATAATGTATACAGGATGGAAGATTTTGCCAAGAAGAAGTGGTACGTGTTCACTCACCTAAAATAATGGAAATATTTCACACGTACCCACACGCACAACCATACAGAAGTTATAAATTACATACGGGTAGTTGAAAAAAAATAAATAAATAAAAATTACTTGCCACACCACATTAATAAATTTATAACCGTTACCACTGCTGAATTGATAGATTTTATAAATGGGAGTGAACAGTAGAGAGAGAGAGAGAGATTTATTTCGTCAACCAGAAAAATAAACAGTCATAATAATAAATAAATAATGGCTATAAAAAAATACGCTTTTTTCGGTATAGACTGGAAGGAGCGATACGACCATGCGGTCATCGAAGTCAGCCCCCTCCAAGTTTACGCTGATAAATTCACAGTAAAATATGATTATTAGAAATGGTTGAAGTTCACGACACAAAATTTGAAAAAACAAACAAAAAAAATGAAGTGAATAAAAGTAATTAATTTTTTTTTCCGTGAAATCAATTTTCAAATGATGAGATTTGTGAAATGAAACAGTTTGCGCAGATTTTCAACTATTACACTATTATTTAAAAGTGAGGAGTAAGCCCCACAAATAAAAAACAATTTTGGCTATTGGACTACTATACTCAAATGTAAATTTGAACACATAACAATTGTTCGAATAAGCAAGGAGCCAGCCTTACATGTACGAATAAATTTCAGGAGATAAAACAACATGGTACTCATGTAAAACATTTGTTTCAAGAGAGGAATCAACCCTACAATGAGAATATCGGTCAGAGACCGAGGACTTATCGATCAAAAGTTAGGGGTCCCCAAAAAAGAGATAAACTTTAAACATCTTTTGGCAATACCTTCCATCTTATATTCTGTACGTTTTAAACCTTATTTTTTGTTTTGTTTACTCTCCCAATTACATAATCAGTTTTTATGTATTTGTTTTTATCAATCATTTTATCGCCCTTTATGCTGATTATGGAGTCGGGATAAACTTATCCTATACTGTGACAGTCTTATAAAATGACATCAGCCGAATTTTGGAACATTTGATGTGCCTTTATTTCTCCTTGATTTTGTATAAAAGGCCGAATAGCGAATGAACTTCTCTTGGTTCGATTCCGAAGCTTAGTAATATATGAAACACTGGTCATACCATTGCAGGTATATACCGGACATCAAAACGAAGGAAGTTTTATAATAAGTACAACCCGGTAGGCGCCCAGGATCACCGCTGATAATTGAGGCCCGCACTTAAGCAACCGGTTGTCAACCATAGAGACTTGAGAATCTTTATCGGCGGCGCGATTAAGTAAGTGGGCGGGTTGACAAAAAGGCCAGTTAATTTGGTAGCTGCACGTTTTGTAGACATACTCGCGTGACTGATATATGATGGATGAAAATTAAAAAAAATAATGATCACTAAAATCCCTAAGGCTTCTCCAGTTTATGTAGTATCGAGATCAAGGACGGACGACTTGTTGGAAAGAGTATTTTTTCGTAAGGAAGGTAGCGTTCTTGGAATTTCAATTGGTTGGCAAGAAAACGGCGAAAAAAATGGAAACTTCACAACGATCGGCGCGTTATTCCTTGCTACCGTGGAAAGGAAACCTCCATTTGGACTTTCTATAAAACGCACATTACTAGGGTGACAGGATCACCCATCTGTGGAATTTCATCCAGATTGCTGCAGCCGTTTAGACACTACATCTAAACAGACAGACAGGCAGGTTGTCTGATCATGTATTTTGTTTTTTTCATGTTACATCTCAATTTATGAACTTCAATTCAGGCGCAACGCCTTCACAGACGTGTGTCTTTCGATAGCTCAGTTGGTAGAGCGGTGGACTGTGGTGATAGAAAGCTGATATCATAAGGTCGCTGATCGATTTCTTTTTAATAACGAAATCTTAATAAATTTATTATGTCTGCAAAGACTTTTATTATATTGAATATGTCGTTGTGAACATCGCCTTTGGTTCAAATCAGGGACGAGTCGTCAATATTGTATAACTGCCTTCATAGAAGTGTGTCCTTCGATAGCTCAGTTGGTAGAGCGGTGGACTGTAGTGAGTGAAGACTCCACAGAGTGGAAGTTGTGAGCATCGAAAGCGTGTCGGGGGGCCATGGTGGGAGTTTTCAACTTCTTGCCCCCGGCAGTGCTGTGCAACTCATCGCCTTGGGTGAACATCGAGGGAGCTTCGTAGGCCGAGTTTCTGCGCCTGCTGGCGCTCAACTTTAATAGGAATCTAAAGATCGCTAAATACACCGATTAGCTAATCAGCAGGCAAGGTATTCGGGCATTCGAGGTTCCCTCAGAGATCTGTACAGCTCTGGACTGATTTGCCGTTTGACAATTGTTATTATTAGGTAAATTAGGGCAGTTGAGATTAGTTACTTGTTCGTATTGCTCTATTCTCGTTTGTTTACATTATTCTACTAGTACCCCGATCAAGCATGGCAAGTGGTTTAACTTCTGATCTCCCCTTGTATGCTACTGTTCTCGTAGGTGAGCGATCCGTGGGCATATATTCTTGCCCCTTTAAATCTTGTAATCTTGATCTCGCATCCCCGTCCCTTTTACTAAAGCACTGGAACGTTATGCACCGGCGTTCCGGAATAATAAACTTTTCTTGCACTCGTTGCAAGAATCATAATTCAACCTCCTCGCAAAATTTGACTTGTCATTGATACCGGTGCAAGGGGAAAGGATGTCTCGTCCACGAATCGTGTGTCCCATTTGCTCACTCGGTTTTTAATTCTCTCGTTCAAGGTAAGTCCATTTAAGACGTGTAAAAAAGGGAAAAACTGTTCCCCCTGTTGGCGATTTCGGAGTGGAGATTTCTTTTACTACGACTAAAATCTCCGTTCCCTTCATTTACAATGGCACAATAACCCCATTTCTTTGCCCACTGCCCGTGTGTCGTAAAAGAGCTCACCGGTACAGCAAATTAAGATCTCGCTGTATAGACATTACCTGAATGTACACCGGCTTCCGCGAGCAAAACTTTCGCTGGATCCGGTGTGCGGCAGGTGTTCTAGGTGGAAATGCAGGGATCAAAAAACCTCATACCTGTAAAATTCCACTGGATAGCCTGCCGCCCGGGGTGCTCTCTCTCGCCACACAATCCATCGGCACCTGTTCCAATCATAGAGTTCTCGTCGACCGAGTCGGGCTTTTCAGCTCGATCATTGAGTTCTCTCGTTTTTCCCATATCAGAGCAATCTGCATCCAATATTTTCTTATCTTCTGCAGCAACTTCTTTTTTAGGCTCTCTTCCTCCTATTTCTCCTGCTTCCTCATCTTTACTTAAACCAATTATTTCCATTTCTCACATTCTAAAAAACCACCCCACCTTTATCCTCCCCGGATTCAAAAACTTATTCTACCTTCAAATTAAAACCGTAAGAAAAAATCTGTAACTTTTTATGCTTCCTCTTCATTCTCGCCCGGTTCGCCCCGACAAACCCCATTGACGCTGGCTACACCAGAACCTCATCCCCGTAAAGTAAAACCCTCATACCCTTCCTATGGACTTGAAGACTCCTCCCCTCGGTCAAATCCGACCTACAATAAAGGAATTTCCCACTAAATGCGCCTCCAGGCCCGTGCGCCGATATGTCAATAAAGGGTGCTCCCGAAGTATGCGAACCAAGATGGCGGACATCGGAACGTAACATGGGTAACAGGTTAGGGTTAGGCGATAATTTTTTCCAATTTTCCTTAATTTAGTCCTATTATCAGTTCGAAGACTAGCCAAGAGCCTCCCGTAGTATTCATACCTAAAATTATGGCCTTACCTTAACCTAGTACACATATTACATTCCGATGTCCGCCATCTTGGTTCGCATACTTCGGGAGCCCCCAATAAAGACTCCGAAAGGCAGTCGTTGTTGTCTTGGCTGCGTACGGCATGGGACGAAGCTCTTCTCCGAGCCGAACCTGATCCACACTTATTCACTGTAGATAACCCGCCGCCCCAAAGCCCTGAGCGAGTAATTGAGATCGGGGAGTCTTCAAAAAATTCCGGTTCTTGTTGCCGGGATTTTAACGGACCATGTCACTCAAGATATGATGTTGTCGTATCTGCGGTCTCTGGTCCGACCTCACCTAGTCTCGTGGTTGAGCCCGAGCCCGTGGTCACCCATATTCCGGACCCTCCTGTGGTTGCAAAAATTATTAATGAGCCACTCTTACCCCCACGCTAACCATGACAAATCAGAGCTTAATTTCTGCGCCGGATGATCGCCAGAGTTCATCTCCTCAGGAGGGTGTGGTTTTTTGGTGTTTTAAACCAGAAGGAACTGCGTCAAAAACTGTCTCGCTTGGTGGATGAATCCGTCTTGATGTCCTCACCAGACGAAGCGTTCGTCCATCTTGAGGGGCAATCTGAACTTTCATCTACCCTTGCCTCTGTTTTTCAAAATACCGGACGCCGGCCCCCAAATTGTTATTCACGTTCAGCCCAGAAACGGGCCAAATCAAACCAATTGAACGGAGAACGTGGTTATCGGCCGGGGTTCGGTCTTCAATTGAGGGCGGCTTTCTTGCGA